CACACACAAGCATACATATATGTATATATATATATATATATATATATATATATATATATATATATATATATATATATATACACTGCTGCCTAAATATATATATATATATATTTTAGGCAGCAGTTTTCATTGATGCATGTTTCATTACATAATATAGACAAGTTATGTCTATTTTAAATAAGTTCCTTTTATATTGTCTGATAAGCTTAATAACATTATCATTGAAAGAAGAAAAGAAATCACCATAATGATACATGTTTTAAAAAAAACATGCTAGGCCGCATTCTCAATACCGGAAAATCCTTGTTGATAATACAACTATACTTAAATATGAAAAGAATGAACAAAAATTAAAAAATCTTGAAGCTGTATACATAAAACAGTTGAAAGCTAACCTGAACAAAATAAATTATGAAATCACGACAAATATTAAATGCCTATAATTTATAACAGAAACCATTGGCTATATATATTAATGAATATATATATATATATATATATATATATATATATATATATATATATATATATAGATAGATAGATAGATAGATAGATATTGAGGCATGATTAGTTGTTGAATAATTGAGACCCAAACTAAAAATCCTCAAACCTATCTGTATTAAAAAATTGAAACCAAACTTTGATGAAATTAATTGTGAATATTCCACAAATGTTTTTAAATGTGCACATTAAATAATTTGAACTGCCAATGCTTTTTTACTACATATTTCGTAAAAAAAAAACAAACAATATTTAGTTATCTCCACTAAAACGGTATCAGCGATCACGCATTTATTCAGCGTTCCTCACTCAACACGTAAGAAATTTAACTTTCAGATGAACACAACAATATTGTCACCGACAATAATGAATACTGCAATATTTGTCTTGCAATAAACAATACCCGGAGGATGACATTGTGCTATGTCGAAAGTACTCGGCATAAAAGTAATATGTATCAACACGGTGATTTTCTCTCGTCCTTCAATAATGGCACCAAAAATTTAAAATTATTCTTGAATATGAAAGAAGACATTTGAAAATCAGAAGATAGAACATGTCCAATGAAAACATGCTGCCAATATATATATATATATATATATATAGATAGATAGATAGATAATGTCTAAAAAAATCTGCGACTCTTGAATTTCACCAACCTATTTTTTATAAACAACTTGAAAGAGGCCGATTGATCAACACAAGGATCGATCAAAGTTAACGATATAAAACAAATGAAAACTAAAGATAAAGTTCATTTTCCTCATAAACATTCATTCACTCCTGTAGTTGGCTCCTAAACTTTGTTGGCCTGATGAAGGCCATTCTGGCCGAAACTGATCGAGGAACATAATTGAAATAATAAAATAAAAAAAATATTAATATACAACCGTGTGTGTCAGAAAATTTAAAATTTTTTATATTTTATTTTTCTAAACAAATATACACACACACACACACACACACACACATATATATATATATATATATATATATATATATATATATATATACACATATGTATATATGTATATATTTTATAGATGTATATATATATATATATATGTGTGTGTATATATATATATATATATATATATATATATATATATGGTGGCAAGAAATTCACTATAAAGTTGCTCATAATAAAAACAACGAACAACGGACGTGGGAAACGAGATCACTTGCTGTTGGCTGTATTTTCATTTTGGGTTGTTAATTCATATTTTAATGAATTTAGTTTGCTTATTTCATTATTGTGGAGGCACGGTTGAGTAGTAGATAGCGGCTTCGATTGAAGAATCAGAGAGTCGAGTTCGAGTTCCAGTCGAATGCATTACTTACGTACTTATACATTGGGAAATGTATGAATCCTAATTTTCTTCCCACCTCGGCCATGTGTAAATAGCAGGGCACACCGTGTTTTATAGCCTTGTGCGACAACTGGTCTAGGAGAAGAACAATGAATTCAAATGCTTATCCTCCAGATTGGTGATTGTGCAGTAGGCTAAAAAACTACTAACTTATACATAAATGGTCTGTTTTAAAAAACGCAAAGATATCTTGCGACCTTATGTTCCTCTAGGAATTTAAATATGTTTCATGATTTTACACATCGGAGTAGAATATCCGTTTTAAGCATTTATCTGAGTATTTCTTTATATTCTTGTGGGAAGATTATTATGACTATTTCTTCACTAGACAAATGTTACGGCGTAATAATATATTGATAATAGTGGACTTTTTTCAACGTTTCCAAATATTCCTGTAATTCACTGCTACCAGCAAGCAGGAAATTATTTTTCTCCTGATAATGGCCTGACCAGGTTGGCCGAAACTAGTTTAGGAATCTAAATGAAATAATAATAAAAACAATATACAACCTAGTGTGTCTGGATATTTTAATTTTTTAATATTATTTATTGTTCAATACTATACTATATATATATATATATATATATATATATATATATATATATATATATATATATATATATACGGCACTTCAAAATGTTTTGTTGGTTCTGCAAAAAGCCTTCATGACTATAATCAATCTCATGTGCTTGAGTCTGGGTTTCGGTCCCTAGGGACTGAGCTGCTTGAACCTCATACATCGACTACGACGGGAGAGCACACGCATTATTTATATTTCTTTATATTTAGCAATGAAAATCATGCATATTCACCGTAACGTAATATTTGGGCGCACGAGAATGTTCCATTTATGATGCAACTGCTTAATAAACACGTGTTTTAGAAATTAATTTTCATAAGTTTTTCAAGGATTTTCAGATTCATAATGATAAAATAATTCCGTTTGTCTGACATATAAACTATTTATATGAAATCGAAATTGATTGCTCAAATTACTTTATTTCTGTTGTTAATATTACTCTCAGTTTATCAGCAACGTTTTTTTTTTCATCATTTCATCCCAAGCAATGCAAGAATGCCACTAATACGCAGAGGTTACAGGGAGTGATGGTGAGAGAAAAGACTGTGTATAGGGGGACCGACGAAAGGGTAAAAGCTGAATGGGATGCAAGATGATAGAAGACGTCCATTGGCGTGGGATTTTAATTTTTGAAGATTGTAGTTATCAGGGCAGCAAGGAAACGAAAGGAAGTTCCACAGGCGAGAAGTGCGAAAGAAAAACTGATGATACACTATTTCCATTTTTCGAACTACTTTCTTCATCTTTGACGCCATATTTATCACAACGTTTCAGCCGTTGTACTCTCCAGCCGTCTTCAGTTGTTTGGAATTTCCGAACTGGACCCTTTAATTCGCTCGGTGGGGTAGACTGTTCTAGTTCCATGTGCCACGTCTAATGGATGTCAGTTATCAGTTATCTCCTGTTAATTCCCTTCTCCAACATCTCCACCGCATTTGCCAGGTGCTGAAAAGGACACATGACACAGTGGATAAAGGCGTTAGTCAGTTCCAGTGACAGGACCCAAAGAGTGTGTGTTCAATAGCTGATTAAGGCGGTGGAGAACTTAGAGAGGGGAATTAACAGGAGATAACTGATAACTGACATCCATTAGATATGGCAGGTGTAACTAGAATAGTCTACCACAGTGAGTGAAATAAAGGGTTCAGTTCGATATTCCAATCACCTGAGGAAGGCCGGAGCGTACAACGGCCGAAACGTTGTGATAAATATGGCAACAAAATGAGATCACTAGTCCGAATAATGTAAATAGTGTACATAATACCTCATCTCAGAAATATAGAAAGATACATAAACTGATGATATTGAAGTCGCGGTTACATTTAACCAACTCAACAGTAAAAGTGTGGGATTCAGATGCCAATCCAATAGCAACCTTAAAAATCTGAAGATATAAATTCATCGAAAACGACTCTATGACGATTACTATTGGACATAAAGTTTAACACACCGCCTGGTAGCCTTATGTCAAGGAAAGATAACAATACGAAAGTTGAAAATATATCCCTCAAGTTAACTAAGAGATCATTTTTTTAAGATACAGGTTTGGTCAATCAAATATAGCCATATTGATACTTGAAATGTGATAAGAAAATTGCCAATTCCCAAATGGCATTGCTTGACTCATCAATTCGATGTTAACTAGCTGCGAGAGAAAGCATCAAATGCAATAGACTGTGTTTTCTTTTTATTGTACTTGCATGCTATTTCTTCGTCTGTTGAAGAATTTTGTTTTCTGTTGAATTTTGTGAAAACAGTTTGCCTCTTAAATCTCATTAAATATGTTCCTTAGTCGTTATTTATTGCAATTTTACATTTTTCTAAATGATTTTTAATTGATACATTTTTCTGTTGTTCGTTTTACGAAAATCATATCCCGACATGTGTATCTCATTGCTTCCCACATTTTAAGGCATAAATTACTGAATTCATTATTGCTACTCTTGTTGTTGTTGCTGTTGTTGTCGTTGTTGTTCTTGTTGTTGTTCTTCTTCTTCTTCTTTTTCTGTTATTATATTATTTTTATTATTATTATTATTATTATTATTATTTAATTCGATTTCTGATGTGTATTCATTTCTTTCTGGGTCCTGACCAGAGACCTGATGTCAGAAATGGCATCATGACCAAAAAAAAAAAAACATATTTTACATAAATAAAGCCCTTTGTAAGGTGTGCACTGTACTCGTGAGAATTATTTTTTTTTTTTCTTTAATGCATGGTCTGCCAGGAATCCCTTCAATGAGTATATTGGAATATTTTCCAACAAATCCGACGATTCCAACTACAACAGGGATATTGTTGATATTCCCATGTGACACATTTTTGAGATTTCGATTTCAAGGTTCTTGTATTTTGATAGCGTTTTGAAGATCTTCAAAGACTATTATTATTATTATTATTATCATTATTATTGTTGTTGTTGTTGTAGTTTTTGCTGTTGTTGTTGTTGCTTCTTCCCAATATCTACTTTGATCCTTCTTTTTTAACTCATGATTTACATCTTTCGATTTCTTTTTTTATTTCCATGTTTCTTTTTTATTTTTGTTTATTATTGGTTTTACAACGTTGTTACATATTCCTTTAGAATTATTTTATTGCTGATAGACACCCTTTCTTTTTTTTTTCTTTAATAACAATAAATTTTAATCTTTTACATTCTTATATACATACCGTTCGTTTATTCCTTTTTTCTTTTTCTCCTATTACATTTATTTCCCTAAGCCATGTCCACAGGTTTTATTGGCTTTCTTTCTCTCTTATAAAACCATCGTTCTCTTTCAATTTTTGTCTTCTTTGCCTTCTTTACTTTCACTCACATCCTTCATTTTCTTATTCTCTTTGCTTTATCGCTTTCACTATTTTCATCTTCCCTTTGCAATTAATACAAGATTCTTGTACTTTTGTTTTCCTCATTATTTCTTTTTTTCATCAAAACCATTTTCTTTTATTTTCCTTCTGTATGCGACTTTTATTCTCACCAGTGCGGAACGAAATAAATAAATAAATAAATAAAGACGTTAAGAATGTGTCACCACACGCGCCGCGCAAACACACCGGAAGTCCAGCGTCAACCTTTTCCTGACCTTTTTGCATGAGACAATTATCGCAAAAAATGTCTCCAAGTGATGGTTCCTGACACGACTGGGTTGGGTCGTTTCTAATGAGACTTCTTGACAGGTTCAGAACAACATATCCACCTTGATCGCTTCTTTCATTCCATTTTCCCTCCTGAGATACTAAGTACATCAAGCGGCCAGAAACTGTTCACTCCTTTGTCACTTCACTATCCTCTATCCGCACACAAACCCCGTCCGGTGTCGCGAATACTAATCCGTTCGTTAGTCTCTTCAATTGATCACAAGACAACAGTTCCCTGTCACTTAGTTTTTCATTTCCCTTCTTTGTATTTCGATCCTAAAACCAGGAGACAAAGTATTCAATTATATTTTTCTTTTTCTTTTTTCATCAGGGCATAATAACTAGTTAGACATGTCAGTAATCATTTTTATATTTACACACATCATATATATATATATATATATATATATATATATATATATATATGGATGTATATTTAGTACACAATATAATCACAAATTACCTCCCATGACCAATGTTTCGTGCCTTTCGTTTGACTGAAACATTGAAATGGATAAATTCTATATTAGGTTTTCGACGCTTTTTTTTTTCTAGCTATCACAGTTAAATTTTTAATTCGGATACGAACTCAGTTTATACTAGGGGTTGAATAAGTCTGATGAATGCTTCGTCTGTTGAAATAATCCTATACTCCCTATGTGAAAATTTGGGAATTTATTCTGTACTAAATATTTGCTCTGTAATAATAAATATATTGATCTTTTTTTTGTGGATCAGTTTCATATTTTTTATTACTAGGATCCACTTGGATTATATACCAACGGATTTCGTAGACTGGTTTGTTTTGTTTTATTTTAAGGCATATCAACCTTAATGGGTTATTTAATGCCGACAAGGTTATTTTTGGGTTTTGGTGATATTTTTTTTTCAAAACTGTATTGCTGGTAAAATTTCTTTTTCAAAAATGTATCGTTGGTAGTAAAAACTTCTTTTTATACTTTCATAGATTTTTGAGCCATTTTTTTTTCACCAGAAATTAAGAGATGCTTCCACGTTCCTCAAAACCTCCTGATCAGAAGCTTTGCTGTCGGATGTAGTTCATCGCCATACCCAGGCTGCTGATGTAGGCTATCACAGTAACCCTATTGGAATTCTGAATGGAAAATTTTATTCAATCCATGATATGTTGGTTTGTTCTCATTTCCCTTTTCATTACTTGACGGATATCAGCATACATGTCAGTTTTGCGTTCAATTCCTGGATCTGGATTATCGCCCCAAGGAAAATTTTGATGTGACCTCGGAATTTATCGCAAATCTGGATCCAGTAAATCTCGCTATATAGCGTCATCTAACGAGTCATTGTTATTTCACGTTCGCTGGTTGGTTTCTCTACTAAGGCAGCCCTAGACATAGTAGTCCCCGGAATTCGTAGCAGGCGACATTAGAGTTTATATATTGCCTGTAGTATACTTTATTATATTCATATTCAGCTACTCTCGGGTTGCGTATATCATGTGGGAGGGATCAGATTACTGCTGAAAATATAACTTCTCGATCCCAGGTCTAACGACAGTGTCCAGCAACTTGATTAAATAGGAAATATTATCACTTAGGCACTGCGCAATTAATTAAGGATTTGTGACATGGTTCGCATTCCATTATACTCCGCAGTCTCTTAGAAATGTCGTCAATTTAGCTTACTTCACGATACGAAACACCTATCATTTATCCTTTATCTGCTGGCTTCTACCAACAATTTGGTTACCTCAGATTTGATGTGGATTATCTGATAATGCCTTGAGCGTTGCGCTTTCATTTCTTACGTGAGAGTGGAATTTCACTGTCACGATCGTGTTCTCGATATGTTTGAAAGCGAAATGAAAGTTTGCCTCAGGATCTGTCACATTGTTTTACATCATGTTTTACCACGATCCACGAAAATAGTGCAATTTACTTTACCACAGCCGTGATGTGGTTTCATTCTGTTTATTTTTATAAATATTTTCATGGCAAATTTTCTAATGAATTTCAACGCGCATATAGGTCTGATTATTTTAATCTTAGTATCGTTCATTGTAACCGTAAGTTCTGTTCTAATAATTTCTTTTCTCGCATTTCTTTCCTGTGGAACTTTCTTTCAGTTTCTTGCTCCACGGCTACCTATAATCTTCGTAAACATTAAATGACTCGTAAATCGTACCTTCTTTTTTCCTGAAATCTGTTCTTTTATTTCTCATAATAACTATATGTATATTGTCTTTCTTACTTCAGCACACATCTGTTTATATATATATATATATATATATATATATATATATATATATATATATATATATATCTTACTATCTATCTATCTCTATTTCATTATGTTCATATCAAAATCTTCCTTTTCAAAATAACTGATTCTTTTCAGATCTATCTATCTATCTATCTATCTCTCTATCTATCTATCTATCTATCTATCTATCTATCTATCTGTTTGTCTGTCTGCCTGTCTGTCTATATATCTGTCTCGGTCTGCTCTTTATCTCTCCATTTCAGTCTGTTCACTATCTATCTATCTATCTATCTATCTATCTATCTTTGCTTCTAAGTAGTTTCAGTTCAGTACCAATATTTGATGAATCTCTCTGGGATTCCCCCTCTTTCCGAATGCGAGTAAAGATGTTTTCCTTTTCCGAATGTGAGTAAAATAAAATTCAGAGTGTAACAATTATCCCTCCTTTCAAACACTGAAGAGCAAATTGATCTTTTAAGCCATTCGTTAATGTAACATCTCGCAATGTCTGCTTTGTGTCAAAACTAATATTATAAATAAATATCTCAGACGTATATAAAAAAAAAGAGTTTTGCAAACACATAGAGTGAATTACTGAATCTTCTTCACATAAGACGTAAAATAAAAATGAATATTTTCACTTTATTTATTTAAGACGTTGTAAGAACGACAAAAGAAGAAATATTGGTCACTTGGTTTTAAACGAAATCATTTCCTTTTTCAATTTAAAAAAGTGGCTAGTTTTTTTTTCATATTTTACCATTTATTTATTTGATATCATCTTTACAATTCCTTTTGCTGCAACAATTTTTTTTTTCAAATTTTAATGAATTGTTACTGCCTCAAATGAATATAACCAAATCTACACAAATCGCTTTGGTAATAATAATCATTTAAGGTTTTTGTCGTCAGCTTCAGTATAAAACTATTTTCCAAATATATTTCAGTGAGACAACAATATGAACAATTTATTCTCATGATTAACCGTGACGATTGCACTGAATATTTAACTTATTTTTTTATCGTTTGTTTCCAGCAAAATCCGCCTCCATTAACTCGTGTCTTCCATTCTTCTTTGTAAATCGACGCCCTGTTTGTTAACCAAGGCGAACAGCGATGTCGTATGATGACATTGATTTACTAGTCAAGTTTTTCTCTAATTCAGTAAGAGTAGTTGCAACTCCTACTAACATCTTCAGTATTCATCTAGCTAGAGTTGGTTGATCAATGCAGTTGAGTTTGAACGTATCTCTTATCATCTCCCATCGATTACCGTATATCAAGTTAATGTCACAGTCTGCACATGTTTGCGTACTTTCACTGCTGAAGAGCTGCTGCCCCCTATAAATTGTCATTTAGTTTTTCTAACATTTTGACTAGATCCTAACGGTTGAATTGTCTGTCTAGGTTTGACTGTCGCCATAATAGCTCTCTGGATCATAGTCGCATGCAAGTCATTCTTAAATGTTTTGATATTTCACTTGGTGCATTTCCCTTTCGTTTGTTCGTGAGTAACATTATGATCGGATATTTTTGTTAATTAAAACGATAAGGTGACCGCATGATTTCTGAGGAATTCTCTATTCTTTCATGAGATTTTATTCATATTTTGTGGAAAGGGATTTCTTCGATGCTATTCTCTTTCCGCATTTAAACTTCACTCAACAATGACAGGGAGGCGCGTATAATGAGTTCGGTTTGCCGAGTTGATTTCTCGCACTTGTGTGTTTCAGTCACTACGCACTCATGCTCTGAGAAAAAAAAAGCTATGGGGAAAATAGAAGAGCAGACTAGGCTGTCTTGCCTGGATAGGGGCAACCAATCTAAAAGAATTTTTTGAATTCTAAACCAACAGGCAATTACGTCACTAAATGCACATGCAATGAATAATTAGAAAACAAGTGATAAGAAAAAATAACTATATTTAAGTCTGTTGCATTTTTTGTACTATGCGTTGTTCATTAGCTCCACAAACTATCCTGGTTTACACACATTCCCATACGCATATAGGTATACACATATATACGTGTAAATATATGCATGTGTCTGCAGGTTTGCGTTTGCATTGACACGTGTGTATTTTTGAATAATGGCTAAAGATAAGGGATGAATATTTTCCATTTTAAGATTAAGCTTTTTTTTAAGTACAAGTGAACGAATATATTTACTTAATTAATATAAATATCATCCAAGCATCTTTTAACTTAGCTATTAAATTTCCAATGCTATTTACTTTACATTTACTGAATAGAATTTGAAGTCACCGTTCACTAATCATGCGTTCAATAGCATCATTCCTGAAGTGAAATATAAGCGAAATTAATTACGGACTTAAATATGCCTGCTTCTTGTTAGACATATTTCAAATCTCAATTCTGAAATAATAAAAGATATCATTTTTAATAAAATGATAAATTCTTCAGAAATACAGTGGTTATCTTTTTTAAAATTAACATTGAACTGATACGTGTATAGTTTTTCCACTATTTTCCCTGTCCGATTGAAAATATCAATACATTTTTCATCTATAATAATTAAATTAATCTTAGGAGCCACTAGATGAAATCACTGCCCCGGTGACATTTTACTCTTTGTCGCAGTAGAAATATTAATATTATTGAACGTTTTACTTATTTTCTTAACCTCAGAAGTATTATGTACAGGAATTTAACCCAACCGAATTTATTATATATAATGAACCCTACAGATAGTTTGGTCTATATTTTGCATTCACTTTCGCAATTATGGTTAAAATTTCCTCTGCAAGTTTTGAAGAAAAAAACGAATATATATCATAAGGAATTCCAAACTGATCAACCAAGAAGGGATTAAAAATGGATCAATCCAGAATGTATTCCAAAATTATCGAATAAGAATGGATACCAAAAGGATTTTCCACGAAAGGATTCTTAAAGGATCGACCACGAATGGATGCCAAAAGGATCGAACAAGAAGTGATTCCAAAAGGAGCGACCAAGAATTGATACCAAAATGATCGACCGAGAAGAAATTCCAAAATGATCGACCGAGAAAGGATTCCAAAACGATCGACCAAGAATAACTAAAAGGATCGACCGAGAAGGAATTCCAAAAGGATTGACCAGGAATGGATACCAAAAGGATCGACAAAGAATAGATACCAAAAGGATCGACCGAGAAGGGATTCTAAAAGGATCGACCACGAATGAATTCCTAAAGGATTGACCGAGAATTGATACCAAAAGGATCGACCAAGAAGGAATTTCCGAAGGAACGATCAAGATGGGGTTCCAAAAGGATCTCTGAAACTTAGAGATTTAAAAAAAACAAACAATTGGCTTTGATTTCCAAAACCTCCACGTATTAATTACCTCAGTAAAAACTAAAACACTGTAAAAAGGCACAACCAAAGAAACTAGAGTTCAAATTTTTAGAAGCTGACACAAAGCTTTCGGTCAGTCTGAAGATGGGTTTCAATGGAAATTAGATGGTTTCGTGGATTTTGATTACTAAACTAATATATTAATATATCTAAATAATCAAAATGAAAACGAAGAAAACAGGATAAACTAAAGAATGACCATAACTATTGAGATGTTTCCTTTCTCGTTTGACAAATTATTATGCGACTCACAACACAAATCAGCTTTTAACGCATTAATATTAATTTGAACTTGAGCGCCGTTAGCTGTTTGAATATCATTTTTTTGTTAAACAATTTCTAAATATTTTGTCGACTAAATTCAAATTTACTCATAGCTGAAGTTTTCCGTGAGGTAAAATTTTCGAGGCAGCTATTAAAGTGAAATTTCCGAGGCAAGTACTAAAGCGAAAAAAAAGATGCATGAAAGGAAATTGAAAGAAAAAAAAATGATAAAAATTAAATGAAAATCAGAAGAAATATGAAATATGGAATAGTTAAGCAGAAATATTTATGAAAATAAAATAATTGGAAATATATAGGCTTAAATCGAAGACGATTTATGAGGAATGTTGGTGGAAAGGATACAAATCATTTGAGAAGTTCAATAAAAGAATGAGGCAAACAAAGAATAGGGGAAAACTAAAGTTTAAAGTGAGAATCCTAAGAAAGAAAGAAAGAAAGAAAGAAAGAAAGAAAGAAAGAAAGAAAGAAAGAAAAAAAGAAAAGAAGAAAGAAAGGAATAAATGAATAAAGAAAGGAAGTAAGAAAGAAAGATAAGAGAAAGATAGAAAGAAAATAGAAAGGAAGAAAGAAAGAAAAAAGAAAGAAAGAAAGAAAGAAGAAAGGAAAGGAAAGAAGAAAGAAAGGAAGAAGGGGAGAAGGACAGGAAAGAAGAAAGAAGAAAGAAAGGAAGAAAGAAAAGAAGAAAGAAAGAAAAAAAAGAAAGAAAGAAATAAAGAAAGAAAGAAAGAGAGAAAGGACGGAAGAAAGAAATAAAGAAAAAAGAAAGGAAGAAAAAAGAAAGAAAAAAGAAAGAAAAAAGGAAAGAAAGGAAAATAATGGAAGGAAGGAAGAACGAAAGAAAGAAAGAAAGAAAGAAAGAAAGAAAGAAAGAAAAGGGAAGAAGAAAAAAGAAAGAAAGAAAGGAAGGAAGAAAAATAAAAAAGAAGAAAGAAAAAAAGAAGAAGGAAAGAAAGGAAAAATAAAGAAAGAAAGAAAGAAAAATGCTACTTCATATAAAATCAAGAAGAAAATGCAGAACATGTAAATTAAAACCAGAAATATGTGAAGGCGGGAAATGAAAGGAGAGACAGAAGAAGATTCTAAATAAAAAGAGGTCAAAATTGACTGATGGCGAAAATTAACGGATAATTAGTGTAGCAGCCAAAGAGCTGAGAGCTGAGTTGTATATGGTGAACAGTCTTGGAAGGAGAAAAAAGTAAATGCCAACGGAATAAGGTTCGTGCCTGAATATTCGATAAAATAACATAGAATAAAGAATATAAAAGAGTAAGAAGTGTGAAAAAAAAGAAAGAAAAAGAAAAAAAGAGAAACTGTAGGAAGACAAATCGAATAATATAAAAAGCAAGTAAAGAGTGAAGAAATAAAATAAATAGTTAGAAGAAAAAAGCCAATTAAGAAACTTAAAAAAAAAAGAGTGAATTAAAAGAAGAGAAATCTTGATGGAAAGAGATTCGTTAATCGAAAGAAAAAGAAACAGAGTTAAAAAGGTAGCTGAAAAAAAAATTAAGTATCTTCAAAAAAAAAAAAAAAAAAAAAAAAAATTATTACAAATTTCTGACATCCGATATTTTTATGAGAATTCTGCCGGGGAAATTCGTCCGTGTTAAATTTAATTTGTTTAATTAAAATTATCCGAATCAACATATTCCTGCCGACGCATTTTTTCACTCCACTTTCGAAACGTATCACACATACACACACAAAAATAAATATACCCAACGCTCACACACAAACACACACAAACATAGACACACACACAATCAATTTAAATAAAGACTAAAGAAGACAGCAAATGAAATTTTTCGTCTTGGGACGATGGAATTCCAGAAAACATTGGCAGAATGTTCTTAGATTCAATAAGAAAAATTCTCAGAGGGCGGAATAAAATTATAATTTCAATCACTGTTTGACTATGACCATCCGGCAAAACTATAAACATGGACAGAGGATGCATGGGAAAAAATTTGCATCAAATTATTTGTTCATTTAAAGCCTGCAATATAACGGTTATTATCGCCATCAATGTTATGACCAGATCCTCTCAAAGACATTATATTTTTTTTATTATCTCCACTGTCAAATTATCACAACCAATATTACCGCCGTAATCATTTGTCACATGATACTGCCTAGGTCAACATAATCGTTGATATATTCACTAGCTTATTATCGTCAGATATTCTAAATTTTCTATATCCTACAAATTCCAATGTACATGATCTTTACTATAAACTTCATCATCTTGAAATGAATTTGCTACTAGGGCACTTCAAATTAAGATGTCTATCCTCACTAAGATATCAATAATTCATTGATATTATTATTATGATTATTATCATACCAGTAACATTTCCACCAATAATATCGTTTCTATCATTATTATCGTAACAACAGCAAGTTCATTGCTATGATCATTATCATCTCAACTACATTTCCACCACCATTATCGTTTTTATCATCGCAATATCATTTCTATCGACATTATCGTTACTGTCATCATTATAATCCCAATTGCTTTTCTACTGTCATTTTCGTTGCTGTAATCTTCAGAGTTGATTAACATTACCTTAATTGGTGCTAACGTCTGAAGATTAATGCGAGTATAAATTTCAGCTGAGGTTCTCAAGCTTTTCGGTGATTTTACTCTGTCGGATTTGGAGGTATTATGACGGATCATCTCATTATTATGACGGATCATCTCATTATTACTATGGACCAACCTGTGTCCATTTACCTTCAAAATGTTGTCTAAACATTCTAAGTGATTACACACGATGTACGCTATAATTTTAACATTTAATTTTTGCAAAGAAACGTGGATCTCTTCATACGCAATCTAAATAGCCATTCTGCTCTATGCTTAACATGGTTTGATCTAATATTTTATTGTTGTTATAGATTTATATGCTTTTAAAATATTTATCTTTCATCAACGGACTATAATTTACCCGCAAATGGTAACACTTTTTCATAAGAATTCAGAGAGGTGAAATAACCATTTCATTTTAATGCATCATTCTGTAAAACCTTTGTGAACAACTCTAGTACCTTTTATCAGATTTTTCTCTTTTGCCTGTTGTGGGGAACTAGTCAGTGTTTAATTTCACATTTGAGCAAAACGCTAAAAATCTACTTGTATTAGTTACATTATTCGTATTGTTATCCTCATTGCCATATTCACAACGTTTCGTCTGTTGTACGCTCCGGCCTTCTTCATGTGAGTGGAATTTCGAACCGAGCCCTTTATTTCGTCCACCGGACTAGTTCTAGTTTCAGGTGTCATGCCTCTTCTGAGGTATTATGAATACTTGTATTATTTACTAATGTAAATAATACAAGTAATCATAATATCTCAAACTATACACAGTAATATAGATACTAAATGTTGAAACTTGACTAATGCATGGAATAATAATGCAACACAAAATGTACTTAGAACAAAATGTATTGAAACAAGAAAGTGTACACAATATTTACATATAGTCTTTTGTATATTCCTGGTAAGACCGTTCCTGGAGAATGTGTTGACTGAGTCACAGTCGGGAAGAGTCTCCGGTTGAATCTCTTGATTCCTCCCTCTCTTCCCGGTACCAACCATATTTATATGGTCGGTACTCCACTATGCAAATTAGGTGGATCCTACCACAACACTAAACATCTACTAAGACAATTTATGTCGTATTACTTCAAAAGAATCAACACAAAAAAACCGCTTGCTTTTCATTCCCTTTACAAATTCAGATATTGCAAACGTTTAAAATCATATTCAAACTTTTCTGTTCTTTACGATTTCTATGCGATAAACGTCTAGGATATTGTGTATTACTCTTGCAGTTTAATGCATTGCTTCAACTTATCAAATGTTATTATTTTCTCTGTACAGACGTCTATCTAAAGTCATTAAACATTTTTTAGGAATCATACTCGGAAAATCTGACTTGCGACTTAAAATGTATGAAACTCTAAAAATAACTATCATTTTCATTTATTAATTTCTAAATGCGAAAATATTTAATCATCAAGATTTTCGAGATAACTTTTTGGGATTAATTTTAATTTCATATTCACGTCTTCAGTTTTTCTAACATCGTCACGACTCTCATTATTATTATTTGTACACATTGAGATTTCTGTCAGCAGTAACTTGTGGCTTTGAAAAAATCTTAGCCTCTCTGTAGAAGATTCCAGCCAACACTTTTATTCTAGCTGATTATAATAATTGTGTAGTTTCGAGTTTCCAGATTTTTTTCGAATTTCTGATGCTTTCTCGTATGAGAGGCACACTTTAAGACAACAATGATCCATGAAGTTTTTATTTGTTTTCTAAGTGCAGGATTTTAGTTTCACTCATATACCTCAACGCTTCAATAACAACTGGAGCAATAGTGGCCAGAATATCATACATACAAACAATATCATTCCAGAGGACACTGTATTTCTTGCGCTCAAAAATTTCTTTTAAATTATTATTTCCTTTGATTTCTGTTGAATATAGATTTTCCTTTCAAGTCACATCCAGAGACCATATGTTAGAAATACCTTCATGTCATTCCCACTGATCACACACATTTTACGTAGATAAAGCACTTCGAAATGTGTGAGTTGTACTTGTGAGTACATTTTTTTTGTATTTTTTTAAGGAATAGGCTACCAGGAATCCCTTCAGTTAGTCTATTGGAAAGTTTTCCAAACAAACCGACGGGTCAACCTGCAACTGGATTTATTGATGTCCTCATGTGCCACATTTTTTAAATATTCACTTCGAGATCATTGTTTATTTTATTGTTTTTTTTAAGACCTTCAAAGATACATTATAATATGTAGGAATATGTCAATAAAAAAAGCCCATTCTGTTATAGCGAACTTTGATCAAGATGACTAAGAGATTAGCTTTCATTGTTCTTTGTGTGTGTGTGTGTGTGTATTTGTTGTGGATTCCGAGATGAAATCCGGTCGCCAATGAATGACAAACGCAGGAATGAAATATAACAAATAAAGGTATTTACACAATAATACAATTCGTAATACGGTTAGTAGATTCAGAAACGCGGTTAGTAGCAATAATAATAATAATAATAATAATATATATATATATATATATATATATATATATATATATATATATATATATAGTCTGGTAAATTCAGTCTCGATGTAGGACTTCCTTAGAGTCTACGTGTTCGTAACTGTGACTTCCACATCGGTTACCTCACACTATTACTCTACCTCCAACTCAATCACAATCACTGCTCCCTCTACTCTGACTGACTCTGGGTATTTAATGGCAGCAGTCCAAGTCCAAGTACACACTGGTAGAGTCAACTTATATGAAAAAGGGGTCGACCCTATAACAGTATTGTAAAGTCCTATGAATTTGTTAGAGGTCCTATCTAGTTAACAGGATCTAGATGATATTCATACAAATTTCTTGCAGATTCCGTCCCATTATAGTTGCATGTTTTCCAGTGGATTCCGAGTTTTATATTCAGTGGCTGATAACACTATGCAACCTGATACAAGTTCATGTTTTCTGGATATTTATCACAGAATCTACATTTCAGGTAAAGACAACAATTCAGTACATGTGCTTGGTAAATTCTAATTAACAAGCATTGGTCCTATGCAACAAGAATAAAAGCTTTTCTTTCAGCTTTGAACCCTGCACTCCGTAACCACTGATGAGTACGGTGTTTGTCTACATCGGCTTGCATGGTACGGGCAGAGTATTGACCAGAAAGCTTTTTATATTACCATCGTTTCTGCATTTGGTAAATTGCATTTTCATTTGATTTCTTTTTTTTAGGTGCATTGTCGTTGCGGTAGGTGTAACATGGCTCGTTTGCACTTCTTCATCTACTTGAAATTCCCTTTTGGATGTTTTGTCTTCCTTTATTAATGAATAGAGTTTATTTATTTCTTTCATGTTCTTTGACACAGATCATCAACCGGTCTTCTGTAGTTCCCAGGTGTCTTTGAAGACCGATTGTTGTGGATTTGTAAGACAGTTCTAATTGAAGTAA